AACAAACCGTTAAAAAAATACTATAAACATCTCAATGCACATAAACTAGAAAATCTAGAAGAAATGGATAAATTCCAGGACATACACACCCTCTCAGTCCTGAACCAGAAAGGAATTGTATCCCTGAATAGACCAATAATGAGTTTTGAAAATTGAGGCAGTAACAAATAGCCTACAGACTGAAAAAAGCCTAGGACCAGATGGAGTCACAGCTGAATTCTACCAGAGGTACAAAGAAGAGCTGATACCATTCCTACTGAAACTTTTCCAAAAATCTGAAAAGGAGGAACTCTTCTCTAACTCATTCTATGAGGCCAGCATCATCCTGATACCAAAACCTGGCAGAGATACAACAAAAAAATAGAAAACTTTAGGCTAGTATCCTTAATGACTATTGATGTGAAAACTGTCAACAAAATACTGGCAAGCTGAATCCGGCAGCACATCAAAAAGCTTATCCACCACAATCAAGGAAGCTTCATCCCTGGGTTGCAAGGTAGTTCAACATATGCAAATCAATAAATATGATTCATCACATAAACAGGGCTATAGACAAAAGCCACATGATTATCTGAATAGATGCATAAAAGGCCTTTGATGAAAATTAACATTCCTTCATTTTAAAAACTCTTAATAAACTAGGTATTGAAGGAACATACCTCAAAATAATAACCATATATGACAAACCCACAGCCAATATCGTACTGAATGGGCAACAGCTGAAAGCATTCCCCCTGAAAACCAGCAGAAGACAAGATGGCCGTATATCGCCGCTCCTGTTCAAGATAGTATTGCAAGTTCTGGCCAGGGAAATCAGGCAAGAGAAAGAAATAAAGGGTATTCAAATAGGAAGAGAGGAAGTCAGACTATCTTTGTTTGCAGATGACATGATCCTGTATCTGGAAAACCCATCTTCTCAGCCCAAGAGCTTCTTAAGCTGACAAGCAATTTCCACAAACTCTCAGGATACAAAGTTAATGTGCAAAAGTCACCAGCATTCCTATACACCAACAGCAGACAAACCAAGAGCCAAATCACAAGAACACTTCCATTTACAACTGTCACAACAAGAATAAAATTCCCAGGAATATAGCTAACAAGGGAAGTGAAGGACCTCTTCAAGGAGAACTACGAACCACTTCTCAAAGAAATCAGAGAAGACAGAACAAATGGAAAATCATTCATTCCATATTCACAGAGAAAAAGAAATAATATTGTGAAAATGGCCATACTGCCCAAAGCACTTAATAGATTCAGTGCTATTCCCATTAACTTACCACTGACATTCTTCACAAAATTAGAAAAAAGTATTTTGAAATTTATACAGAACCAAAAAGAGCCTAAATGGTCAAGGGAATACTAAGCAAAAAGAACAAAGCTGAAGGCATCACATTACCCAACTTCAAACTATATTATAGGGCTCGGTAACCAAAACAGCCTTGTTCTGATACAAGAACAGACACATAGACCAATGAAACAGAATAGAGAACCCAGAAATAAGACCACATTCCTACAACCATCTGATCTTTGACAAACCTGATGAAAACAAGCAATGGGGAAAGAATTTCCTATTTAATAAACAGTGCTGGGAGAACTGGCTAGCCATATGCAGAAAATTGAAATTGAATCCCTTCCTTACGCCATATACAAAAATCAACTCAAGATGAATTAAAGAGTTAAATGTAAAACCTACAACTATGAAAACCCTAGAAGAAAACCTTGGCAGTGCAATTCAGGGCATAGGCATAGGCAAAGATTTCATGATGAAGGTACTAAAAGCAATTGCAACAAAAGCAAATACAGACTCTAATTAAACTAAAGAGCTTCAGCACAGCAAAATAAACCATCAATAAATTAAGCAGACAACCTACAGAATGGGAGACAAATTTTGCATCATATCCATCTGGCAAACATCTAATATCCAGCATTTATAAGGAACTTCAACAAGTTTACAAGAAGAAAACAACCCATTATAAAGTAGGCAAAGGACAAGAAGAGACATTTCTCAAAAGAAGACATGTGGCCAACTAACATATGAAAAAAAAACCTCAATATCACTGATCATTAGAGAAATGTAATTCAAAACCACAATGAGATACCATCTCATACCAATCAGAATGGCTATTATTATTAGGTTGGTGCAAAAGTAATTGCAGCTCTGTCATGGAAATTAATGGCAAAAGCCACAATTAGTTTTGCACCAACCTTGTAAAAAGTCAAAAAACAACGCATGCTGGCAATGTTGTGGAGAAAAAGGAAATGCTTTTACACTGTTGGTAGAAGTGTAAATTAGTTCAATCACTATGGAAGACAGTGTGGCGATTCCTGAAAGACCTCAAAGCAGAATATCTTTCAACCCAGCAATCTCATGACTCAGTATATACCCAAAGTAATATAAATTGTTGTATTATAAAGATACATGTGCGTGCATATTTTCTGCTGCACTATCCACAATAGCACAGACATGGAATCAACCTAAATGCCATGAATGATAGACTAAAGAAAATTTGGCACATATGCAGCATGGAACACTATGCAGCCATAAAAAGATCATGTTCTTCATGGGGGCATGAATGGATTTGGAAACTGTTATCCTCAGCAAACTAACATAGGAACAGAAAACCAAACACCCTGTATTTTCACTTAGAAGTGGGAGCCGAAAGATGAGAACACATGGACACATGGGGCCAGGAAACATACACTGGGGCCTGTTGGAGAATGGAGGGTGGAAGGAGGGAGAACATCAGTAAGAACAGCTATCAGAGGCTGGGCTTAATCCCTTGGTGATGAAATGGTCTGTGCATCAAACCACAGTGGCACACTTTTACCTGTTTAACAAACCTGCACATCCTGCACACGTATGCCTGAACTTAAAATAAGTGTTAGAAAGAAACCTAGTCTCCACACCTAGCTCTGCACTTTATTAGTTGTGGATCCATAGGTAGGTTACTTAACATCTCTGTGCCTTTGTTGCTCCATCTGTGAAATAAGGATAGTGAAGACAGCATATCACAGGGTTCAAGTGAGAATTAAACGCAACACAATTTATAAAGTTATTTGTGCTGTATATGGCACATTGTGAGTTCTCAATACATGCTACCTAAAATGGAAGAGGGTCTCTCTCTTAGTTTCTAAATGCTGTGCCACATCTGTTTTCTCCCTGATATTGATAATTTATGTTTGGAGTACTCTATGGAGGCAGGGAATCCCACATTAGCTCACAAGGTCATTTTATTTAACATATGTTTATACAACTCATACCATGTACTAGGTTCTGATGTTAACACTGAACACAGTTATTTCATTCTCCACGCAATCCTATGTGGTAGGAATCCCATACAAAAGGCTCCGCCACATTTTGGGGCTTATTTTGATAAGTCCTGTGAGAATGGGGAGGGGAAATTAAAGATGAAAAAATAAGATTCTGCCCTTAAAGCAGAGGGTAGAGAAACAAATACTTGTAGAGGGTATATTATCTCAGGCTCGATATTTTGTGTGTATTATTTAATTTCAAGCAACAACTCTAATAGGTGATATTCCCATTTTGCAGATGTGGAAATACACTAAAGAGGTTTTTTTTTTTTCTTTTATAACTAACTCAGCATTGCACAGCCAGTTCATTGTGAGGGATAGAATTCTAACCCAGGCCTGATTTCAGACCCTGTACACTTTTCACTGCTTCTTGATGTCTGTTAATAGGAAAGATAATGTTCATATTATAAATAAAATGTAAGGTATAGATAAAAAATATATACATAAATGGTCCTCGGAGATAAGGGGAGTAATCAATAAGCCAAGAGGTTCCTGGGATGCTTCATTGAAGAGGGAGCATTTGAAATAGGATCTGAAAGTGAGCAGGTTGTAGGCTGGGTGGATTGGGAGAAGGAGATTATAGGTAGAGGGAAGAGCACAACCAAAGGCTCTGATAGGATCAGGATAATGTGTAGTTGGCAGTCATGGACCAAGGAGGTGAAACTGCCTGAGTAAGAAGCAATATCTTCTTTGGGAGGCCGAGGCGGGTGGATCACGAGGTCAAGAGATCGAGACCATCCCGGTCAACATGGTGAAACCCCATCTCTACTCAAAATACAAAAAATTAGCTGGGCATGGTGGCGTGTGCCTGTAATCCCAGCTACTCAGGAGGCGGAAGCAGGAGAATTGCCTCAGCCCAGGAGGTGGAGATTGCGGTGAGCCAAGATCATGCCATTGCACTCCAGCCTGGGTAACAAGAGCGAAACTCCATCTCAAAAAAAAGAAGCAATATCTTTCACCAATGTTGTTTAGAATTGCCAGAGCATGGTCATAATAAAGAGCAGACTGACTCTTAGTTTATTTATTGCTTTTAACTCTACAGATAGTGTACCTGCTTTATTGTGTGTATCCAGGACAGACCACTCCTATCAACCTCTATTCTTTGGTATGCCATTGGGTTTGTTGGAATTAAGTTTCTCTTGAATTTTGTTCTCTGTAAGTCTTTCTTGGTAGCGCTCCAATTTCTATGGATTCTAGCCTGTGTTATTCCCAGCCTGTGTTATTTCTGGCTTGTGTTCTTCACTATGTGATTTTTACCCTGTGTTCCAGGAAGACAGGTTCTTTCAGGGGCAAAGAGTTAGCCCTAGGCTTTCTATAGGTTTTGGAAAAGAAGGATCACACGTGGAACCAGGTGTCTCTTGTATTCAGGTCTGGAGTTCTTCTGCTTCAGGCAGGAAGCCTGTCTAAAATAAAAACTTCCTTCAGGATCTGAGTGATATCCACAAGCAATGCTAGATTGAACTAAAGGGCATGGGCCATGGCACTGCAAGAATCTTCTTAGAACTTTTGTCACTTGGTGGGAAGTTAAGAGTGGGCTGACTTGAACCTTGAAACAGTTAAAGGGAAGACCAAGTGGTTGAAACCCTCTCTACCCCCATCCCCCTGGCCTTTCCTTGACTACCACTCTGGGGCAAAGGAAGGAGGATCTCCTGCTGATTTTCAACTGCGTTTTGCTCTCTGTTATGTAGTATTTCAGTGACATCATCCACTCAGGAGAGTTGGGGCGAGGCTGGCTGAGGTTCTCAAGGAGCTGAGTTTTGAGTTCAGGTGCTCGTGTAACCATGGAATGATGCCTCCTGATCTTTCAGACCTTTGAGACCTCTGGGCGGTCTTAGAAATCACCTCAAGCCTCCATCCAGTCCAGGATACGACTGCCTAGGGGAATTCCAGGGAAAGGTGGCAGGTAGAGTATCCTTTCTGAGTTTTATTCCCTCGTCCTCCTTTCCCTTCTTTCTATGTGTCTGTGTTGCTCCGTTGTGTCTCCTCCTCGAGATTCCAAAGAACATTGATGCCAAGGTGTTTATTTTATGTTCTTGTCAACAGAGATACCATGGACCATAAGGTGATGAATACCACAACGAGCTCACTACAGGATCTCAAAGATTCCAAGCCACTGGCTGTTCCAAAGCATAAAGCCACCCTTCAGGAGCAGCGTTGGGAGGCAGGCTGGAGGAGGTAAGGAATCGTCCACTCTTCCCTCTGCCCTTGACTCCATCAGCCTTTCGCTATCAGATTATTTGGACTCTTGCCTGATGGGCTCTTTCCTGTGTGTTTTTACTTAGGCCCTGAGTTTTTGCCAGAGGATGGATCAGCCCCTTAGGTGTCCCAGGAGCTGCTGAAGCATAGTGAGGAAGATGCTGCTGATACACAGGACAGAAACACAGAAACGGGAACCAACGGGCACTTAAAGTTGACTCGCACCCAGCATCCCTGCAGACTGATGTTCTCTGAGCTGTAGTTCTTCATTGGACTATTGTTCCTTTGCTGTCACCTGCCTAACACATAGTGCTGGATGCTCTTGACTGGTTGGATTTCTTTTTTCTTTTTCCCCTGTATTTTTTTTTTTCCTTTCCTTGATTCTGGGAATTATAAAAAAAAATTTCTTGAAAAAGTATTATTCTGTGCTGAAATTAGCCTTGTTTATGAACATGTTTTATCCCTAGGGATTTCCTGAATTGCAATCCCAGGTTGGGGCTGTGTCGTTTGATTTGTATAGGACTGATCTGTAGGTTAAAATACATTTCCTTTCATTTCATTCTTTTTTTTTAAAGTTTGGATCCAGGTAATGGCCTGAGTCACATTTGCTTAGCTACTGAAGCGATCTCAGTGTGGTATCGCTTAGAGTTGAAACATAATCAAACATACATTCTACCTGGGGCTCTTGCACACTATTTGATATATATGTTACACTACAAAGAAACACAAACCGTGTAGGTTGAAATTTAATTCCTCTTTGATCCTGCATCTAGAATGCTAAAGAAATTGTAAATATCAAAAGTGGCTTCAAATACCCTGAATGTAAGCTAGTCAATAGTAAGTGCGTGGTTTCAGAATAACATTTTCTAAGACAAAGCAGGAATTAGAGATCTTCTGACCTCATCCACAGTGTTGCTCAGGTCTGCCTGAGGATCTGTCCATTTTGGAGTAAAGCACAAGCATGCTTCTGTGATTGTGTTTATGAAAACTGTGGTATTTCAGATTTATGTTTTGTGATTGTGCCTGCCTTGCAATAAAACACCTTCAGTTGACTCAGCAATAAGGTGTCTGTCAATTTCCTGTAAAACTCTGTCTTTAGTAGCTTTCTAAGAAAGCCCAGTGTAGACCTATCAGTGGTTGACCTGCTAGACATTTCAGCTGGACCGACCATTATTGCTCTTTCAGAAATAGCACTGGGGCTGTCCATTGTCTACTCATGTGGTCAGTGGTATGGTCAACTTCTCAATTTTTCATACTACCATCAACTACAGAAATCTCTAGTCACAGCCTAATCCTGTTACGTAGATGTGCTGCCATCTGCCATCGTGTTCTAACTCTGGAGTCCCTATTTATTTCTGAGACTCTAGGACAAGCCAAAAACCCTCTGGACCTCGGTGTCCTCATAAACAAAATGGGGATAATGATACTTCCTATGATTGTGGTGATAAGTGCCTGTAAAAGGACATCACATGGATGGTACTTTGAACATTGTAAATTCATTTGGATGTGGCAATACTCAATAAATGGTGGCTATTTTATTTGTTAATAAAGAATTGAATGAATTTCTAAATCTCTTACAGTTGATCTTTAGTTGAGAACACTGAGTAACCTCTGAGTAGTTTCTTAGGCCTCTTTACTTAAAGCCCTTGGAAAAAATGTGAAGATTCGTGAGGCAGAAGTCTGGAGTGGAGAATCTGCTGCTGCCTTCCTTGGCCACGTAACCAAATACCTCAATTCCTTAATTTCTTTTTCTGAAAATAGGGCAGATGTTTTACCCCTTCACAGCGATGGCACTATCCCGTTCTCAGAAAAGTATATACTATCCCATTCTCAGAAAATCATATATAACTGTATGAGACACCACCTTTTCTACTTGTTTACAACTTCAAGCCCATGTCATCCAAGAGGAGGTGAGTATCTCTCTAGATACTGACAAGGAGAACTCTTTAACTAAGGAGAATAATCCAAACCATAAAAAAACACATCACACTATCTGTCATTTTAGTGGAAAGCACTTCTGAGAGAACCCTGGTATTTTCTACCACCACACCTGCGATTTTGGGGTGATCAAAATGTGCAGCAAAGACAAGAGCTGACGCAATTCATTTTGGACTGGGTGGCAAATAGAACAGTTGTTCCCTGATTGCCATGGTACAGATTGTTGTCCCACAGGCATTATCCCTGGACTTCAAGACATGCATAGTACAGAGAATATTTTCTACTTTCTATCCTGAAGTCATTAAAATGACAATAATAATTGGAGCAGCAAGTTAACAGTTATTGAACACTTACTGTAGGCTGGGCATTAGGCAAAACATTATGAGCTCTGGCTAATTTCATCATCAGAGGGATTGCATGAGTAGGTACTCTCATTACCCCCATTGCTTACATGAAAAACTGAGCCATGGAGTGGTTAGCTAAGTGAGCCAGACCACGCAGTGGGTGAGAGGCATGACTGGATGAATCGGTCAGGTTGTCCTGACTCCAGAGCTTGAACTCTTCACCGCCAAGCTCAGCTGCTTCCTCACTTGGGCTTCTGTCCCTGTCTGATTGCTTACTGGTTTGTGACTTTACACCTCACCTTTGGAATTTCATTGTCCTTATTTGTAATTTAGGTCTATTAATTCTCATTCTCTCTTGCCTGCTTCCCAGTTATTGCCTGTGCTCTTGGAAAATGTGTTCCACCTAACATGAAAAGTAAATATTTTTAATAATTTTTTTTAAATTAAATTCACTTCTGGATGGGATCTGGGTTAAACCTACGTTATGCTGAATTCTGGTTTCTGTTTAGCAGTTTGAGGTTTCAGCATATCATATCTAAGAGGAAGTCCTAATGGTTGTGATTGTTTAGCCCAAAAGCATGTGACAGGTAACTGATAGAGTACCAAACTAAAAGAGAAGCAATATTAGATTCTCGAGCAAAACAATGCCAACTCTAACCTTAGTTCCCGAAGTCTTGATCAAAGGATGTCATTTATGTCAGACTGAAATAACCTCTTTCCACTTCCCTCCAACAGTTTATCCAGAGCTTGGTGATATGGTATATCTGTTTGAAGAACCACTGGAATTGAAAGCAGGTTACGTATTTGTAAGCAGATTGTAGCAGCTGCAATTGGCATCCTGTCCAAATTTTTTAGGGCTTCCTTTAACTGGGGCACCATTGTATGTCACAGGCCAGAAGTGCTAGGGCATGTATTCCCTACCCCACTGAAACTAACCCTCAACCAATGGCAGAAGAGATTTGTGATGTAAATAATCCAGCTCCCTTACCCCTTGGTGGACTGAATGAGGCATGTTCTATGCTGGCTCTGAGTTCTGTGAGGTGATGCTCCAGTTGCTCATGGTATTAACTAGTTGTTGGCCACCTTTTATTCTCTATCTCATGCTGTTATCCACTCTTAACCAGTGCTCTCTAGAATCACTTCCCCAATAAGTAATTTGCACAAAAAATCTTATCTTAGAGTCTGCTGCTGGGAGAAGCCCAAGCAAATTCAAAGTTCTGGTGCTGGTCAGTTATAGATATAATAAAGCACCAGAGGAAATACAGCAGTATTATTCAAGACTAAATTGTCTCTTTCCTTGTTTTTCTACTGACATTCTGCTAATATCAGAGAGATTAAGAACCGGAATGGGGCCTTATAAACCCGAGACACAGTTGCCAGAGAACAATTTCCTTCTTGCAAAATAGGCACCTTCAAAAGTTATGAGATATTTTTCCTTTAAATGAAAGACTCAACTAACGTGATAATAATACCAGGCAAGAGTCATCTGACGGCAAATCAAATTACAATTCACAGGCTAGAGCAAGTTATTAAATATAAGGGGGTAATGGGAAAAGGAGAGAGTCACAATCCCAAAGCCCCTGTCTCACCTCTCAAGGACTCCTATTTGCCTTTGAATCACTTCTGCTTCAATTAACATTGATTGAGCTTGCCTAGAGTGCCTGGCTCTTGTCAAATCCCATTACAGGAGACTCCAAGATACTATCTGTTGCAAACCTTTGTTGTACTGAGATGTTTTTATGGGAATATTGAATATGGCATGGAGTAGCTAACACATTGATCAGGGATGTAATACAAGAGGTTTGCTCTTTCTAGTGTGGCAGTATTATAAATGGGATTTCATTTTGCCATTATTATTATCAACTAGAGCCAATTCTCTAAGTTCAAGTTACGATGCTCTAAAAAGCATGTCAGACTGACCCACTACTGCCTTTAGAAATAAACATTGAAAATGTCAATCCTGTAAAGTGAGAAAATGTGACTGAATCTTTGTTACAGACATCACACACTGAATTTACTTGTTTTGTTGGAAGGAGACACACAGAGAAACATGTTTTCTCTATGGGGTTCTCAGTAAAGGAGTCTCTGTTTATTTTATCGGAGATGTAAAAGGAATTAATAGTATTTATCAGTCTGTCTTACGTCTTTTCGTCTCACTCTTGCAAAGATCTTGGAGGGTGGGGGTATATTGTATGCCTCTTTGTTTTCAGTATGTGATTGATAACAGAGCTTTCTTCATATTCGGTATCTACTCCTTCTTTACTTGAAATAAACTAGATGATGGAAACTGTTTATTTTATAGATTTCCTATGGAATTTTAAGCCATTAGTAGTGTGCACCCAGCCTTGTGCTTACTGGAGGAGGGAAAGAAAATCAAAATCCCATCCTTGGATGCGTGCTTAGATGTTGAGGGGTAGATTCCTATGAGGAAAAAAATCAAAGAGTAACATTGTTTCTAGGATTTTTTTTTATGACCAAGAACATTTTATGCAGTGACACACTATTACAGGTACTTTTTAACGCTGGCATTTTAATCTTACTAATTTTTAATTTTTAGAAAAACATTTAAATGCTCTTGGTACTAATAAAACACATCTGATGAATGGAATCATCTTAGATATTTAATTAGATTACAAATTTAATTAGACAAATTCTCCTAAGTATTTTAATAAAATACTGACCAATTTCATTAAGTTTTACAAACTTTAAAAGCAGATGGCACCACATGTGAATGCACAAACAGAATCACAACACAATGGGATTCAATATTTTTATTTCTACACTTAAACTATTAGGTAGTATTTATATAATGGGTTTATGTCTCCATTGTTCACAAACTTGTTTTATACCTTCCTTGTTTGTTATACTTCTCATTGTTTATGCTTTCCTAGGTTTCAGTAATCTTGCCAAACTTGAAAGAAAAAGAATGCAGTTTCAGTCCAACTGGTGTTACAGATACTGGGCTATCAATCACATGATTTTTGGCTGATACATGGGCTCTTACTGGATCCCTTCAAAGTTGATACAGCCAGTCCTGGGCTAGTGTTTTGTGGCTTGAGTTTTTTTCTGAGAGTTAAATTTCAGTCACTATGTCAATGGCTGTTGGAAGCCCTTGTCTTACACTAGAAACATGGAGCCTCCTCTGAGGGTTCCCATGTCCATCAAATCTTAGTTCCAGGCAGTAAGCCTCTACTTCATGATGCTTTAGTTTCTCAATATTTCTGATAAAAGCATCTAGTGGTTTCATTATCCAAGAGTCGAAGGGATAAATCTGGGCAGCAGATACTCTTCTTGTGATCACCACACCATATATCAGTTTCCAACACACCACTGGAATTTTTCTCCTGACTCTTACGAGTGACCATAGGAGCTGATAACTCACCTGGTTTACCAAGAAAAATCTCCAAGTTTTGTTATTTGACTTAACATTCACTGTAGACTTTTTCCTATTTCTTGAGAAAAATATAGATATTGAAACATATCAAATAATGAAACTGAACATCTATACATGTCAATTTTCCAACCTACTCACTAAAATATTTTTAAAATAAATATGCCTTTCTCTTTGTTTTTCAATGAACTCTTTGTACATCTTCTACTTTTTTTATTGCTAAGTACTTGTATGGACTGAAGTGAAGGCTTTTCACAGACATAAGTTATTCCAATAAACTATAATTATTCTTGTTCAAATTATTATATTGTGAGCAACCTCATAAGGTGTCTCCATTGTCTTTTCAGCATTACTTCTGAGACATTTTTGAAAGTCTCCTGCTTAAAGGCA